TTCTCTGTCCCATCCACACAATAATTCCTTTAGATATATCAGGATTTCAGGCCCTAGCAGCATTTCTGGTTAATACCTGCTTCTAATCTTTGAAACGTTTGTTTTGTGACAGAAGATTAATCACAGGGAATCATCTATTCTGAAGGTCTTGGGTTTATTCTTCATTGCTGGAAGATACATATATTTAAAAGGCAATGAGCATCTTCTCCTAGGAATGTGCATATTGCCTTCATCTGTCTCCCTTCATCTGCTCCCTGTTGACAAGTCCTATAGAATTATTTCCAGCCTCTTTGAATGTTTTTCCCCTTATTCAGCTGTAGGCAGGACAACAAATCAGAGCTGCAGTATAAAATGCATTTGGCTGGGGAATGGCTGTGGTGAATTCAATGCCATGCTGGTGACTTGCTGTATTTCAAGGCAGAAGAGCTACATTTGATCTTGGGGGTGGAAGAGAAAACCACAGTGTGCAGGCTGGTGGCTGCTCTGTCCTTAATTTATTGGCAGTTGGGGGGGAAGAAAAAATCTGCATTTTCTTTTGATTTTTTTAGGCCAGATACTAGCCTGAATTATGGTGCCAGCTATTTCATCAAGAGTCAAGTGGAAGATTTAACTCCTTGGAGAGCTGTGTGTAGTTCTGAGCCATAACTAAGGCTTTCAACTGTCACACTCTGGCAAACCACAGTGAAGAGTGATAGGTAAAAAGCCACTGCTCCTTTAAATCAGTATCCCCACTGACTCAGAATATATATATTGATTTTTTTTTTCCTCTTTATTCTCACCAACAGTTTCAATTAAGATTCAGCAGGTCCACTCTGAGAAAACCCAGTACAAAATGCTGCATCAGATTTGGGTTTAGTGCTGCTTTTTACATTCTGTTTAAGGAATGGGCATTTAAAAGGGATTATATCTGTAGCAAATTAACACGTGGATCTGAGAGGCTTGTGTAATTGCCTAATTCATAGCTCTTGTTGTAGAATTTTGAGTGTGTAATTACTACAACATATAAATATATATTTCATCAACTTTTTTCAGACAACAGCTCTACAGATTTTAAAAGTCAATTACATTCACCCAGCCATGCTACTCTCTGAATATGGGAGAATCTCAGCATGATTTGGGGGAAAAAAAAAAAGCCCACCACACCATATTTTCCTTGCAAATAGTGTCTGCACCAACAAATCATCTGGACAAAATAATTACATGTTATTTGTCTTTACCCTTTGTAATGCACTCAGCAAATTGCAGTGCTGCACCCACCCATGAACCATTTGCTAATTGGGGGTTTATTGTACATTTGTCAGGCCCTTTACCTGCATTTGTGCCTTTTTGGGGAGGGTCTCTCCAGATGTGCAGCAGCTGTTGTTGCACGTGGCATTGTGTGAGTGTATTCAGCACGGAAGGAAGGTCACCTGAGGCTCTGTTATTCCCCAAGAGGTCTTGAAAGCTGCAGGAGCAATGAGAAGGGGCAGGCTTTAGGGAGAAGAGCAAGATGCATCTGTAGAATAAATGCATCTCAATCAAAAGGTTTGGCTCCTGAGGCACCGTGCTGCCCATTTAGATTTCCATGCTGGCATGTGGCAACTGCAGTAAGTGCTTGAATTAAAAATACTACTGGGAATCTGATGTATTTTGAGTTCTTGGTACAACCATTTATTGTCTGGAAACAGAAAAAGGAGCTGACAGTTTTCTAAGCACCACCTCAGAGCTGTGGGTCATAATTTGGGAACCTTTGGCAAGAAATCTTGAATCCGTGTGTTGTACACATGGATGCCTCTGAAATGTCTTTCAGAGACACACATTTGGAGATGATGTATTTGTGTAGGTCTTTCTGAAGCCCTCTGCTGTTTTACAAACTGAAAATCTCCATTTCCAGCCCGTTTCCATTTCCATTTTCCTAAGCAGGCAAGAAATTTCTCCTTGATTTTAAGATTGTGTGCTGAAGAACTTCACATGTTAAATGCAGCTTCACTGCCATCAACCTTTGGAGGCCTCTGAGAAGTGCTCTCCTACAGGGCTGGGTTTCTACTGATTTGGAAATTAGCAGGTTAAAGTAAAAGAGCTGAAGTGCATACCCTGCATGGCAAATGGAAAGTGTTAAGACATAAATTGCTGGTATTCTTTTCTGTGACTAATTTATGGTGGCTGCACTGAAATGGGGGTTGAAATTTCCTGTATTGTGGTGATAAAATGCTGGAAGAGGAAGAGACCTTCAGCCCTGAGTGATGTCTGAAGTTGTAATGAGGAGAACTCAGGAACAACATCCCCAATCAAATATCCAAATCTGGTCCATGTGAAAGTGGTGCAATGGTCTTGGAGGTGGAAGGAGTGATGAGACTTCCCAGGTCATCTCCAGGAGCCTCTGTCTCATGAACAGGGGCAATATGAGTACAAAGGTTGCACAGAAAACCTCCTTTATGGAAAGGAAAAATGGGAGAAAGGAGATGAAATATAGCTAAGCTGGGGGAGGGGAAGGACTGAAAAACTCCCCAGGTAAAAACAACAGGAAAAATGGTGAAGAACTGCAGAAAAGATGTTTCAAAAAATAATTAAAGCCCAACTATTAAAAAAAAAAAAGGCATTGAGACCCAAAAGAAAAAAAAAATAAGCAATGAAGTGGAGGAAAAGAGATTTGGAGAGAAGATATTGATTTAGCTTTAGCCTGTGGCTCTTTGTGAAACGTGAGTTTAGAGGACCTTTGGTAACCAGATCAATAAAGTCTTTAAAATCATTTAATTAGATTGAAGGCTGAAAGATAAACTCTTTTGATAAAACCTCCTACCTTTATTTTCCAGAACAGGGGGAAAAAAATGTTCACTCCTCGTTTACCTTCCAATTGATTTTCCTTCAAGCTAAGAAAAAAACATGCTACATTTGGGCAGAAGAAGGCAATGGACCTTCTCCTCATTTACAAATGTGGAATAAAAGACAGTGGTCACTTAGGGGTAATTAAAACTGCAGAACAAATGACAAGTCTGGGAAGATTCAGAAGGAAGCAAGTTTAGATATACACATATGAGACAAAATTGCCAGCAATTGTTCAGCAGTAGCAGCTCTGAAGGATGATTTGCCTTATTTCCAGCTGCTAAAAGTAGAGAATTTATTTCTTTCTTTATTTAGGTTGTCCAGGTGTTGAATTTAGAAGCGTGCTGAATTTAAATTCAGGATTTTAGGTTTATGCTGTGTTTTGACAAAAAGAAATCAAAGATCTTCAACTGTTTTATCACATTGGTGCTTGACATTAGTAAATATGTGGTTCCTATTTGCATGAAAGCCATTTGTTTGTTTGGAAAGAAGCAAACATCACAGTACATTTATTGGTCTAAAAGTCTTGACATTATGTTCAGTGAAAATTGACTCTTCTGCCTGTAAGATGCACCCTTGGAAACAAAATAACCCCACTGATGAGAACACATTCATTATATGTGCTACAAAGCTGTTTTCTCTGAAGGGATGTTGTCCTGCATCCTTCTGAAGCTTGGGGTCTTAGAATGCTTTGGGTTGGAAGGGATCTAAAAGCTCAGCTAGTCCAACCCCCCTGCAGGGAGCAGGGACAGCCCCACCCACCGAGCCCCCTAACTCCTGCATCTTAGAATCATAGAATCATAGAATCATTTAGGTTGGAATTCCGAGACCTCCAAGATCATCAAGTCCAACCACCGAGCCACCAGGGCTCCAAAGTCCTCTGCTCAAACAGAATCAGAATCTGTCAGGGCTGGAAGGGACCCCAAGGATCCCCCAGTTCCACCCCCCCTGCCATGAGCAGGGACACCTCCCACTAGATCAGGCTGCCCAGAGCCTCCTCCAGCCTGGCCTTCAAGACCCCCAGGGATGGGGCCTCACCCCCCTCCCTGGGCAACCCATCCCAGGCTCTCCCCACTCTCCTGGGGAAGAACTTCTTCCTCACGGCCAGTCTGAATCTCCCCCCTGCCAGCTCTGCCCCATCCCCCCCAGTCCTGCCACTGCCCCACAGCCTAAAAAGTCCCTCCCCAGCTTTCCTGGAGCCCCCTTCAGATCCTGGAAGGCCACAAGAAGGTCCCCTGGGAGCCTTCTCCTCTCCAGGCTGAACAGCCCCAACTCCCTCAGCCTGTGCTCCCAGCAGAGCTGCTCCAGCCCTCGGATCATTCTCGTGGCTCTTCTCTGGCCGCGCTCCAGCAGCTCCACATCCCTCCTGTCCTGGGGGCTCCAGAGCTGGATGCAGTGCTCCAGGGGGGGTCTCACCAGAGCAGAGCAGAGGGGGAGAATCCCCTCCCTCCACCTGCTGGCCACACTCCTCCTGATGCAGCCCAGGCTCTGGTTGGCTCTCTGGGCTGCAGGTGCACACTGCTGGCTCCTGTTGAGCTTCTCATCTTCATTTCAAGTAGTAATTCCTGAGTGCTAAACCTGCAGTCAATGGAATGCTCCTTCTCCACCATCACACATGAGCTCCAAATGTCACAGGGGGGAGTGTGACAACGTTTTCAATCTCTGCCCTTCTCAGAGTCTTGCCCAGAGAGGGTTGAAGGTGACCTGTTGTTAACTGTACAAGTGAGACTCGATGGTACTTTAGTTTGACCCTGGGTGGATGTCTCTATTTTCCTGTGTTTAAAAGAGCTGATGAAACAGATATTTTTGTTCTCTGTTACTGGGCTGTAATGCCAAAAGAGAGGTCACAGGAACTTACATTTCTACATTAAAGTATCTAAGAGGAGGACGTGGAGTCTGATCTTTGCCACGCTCTGGGAATCAGCAGAGGTGCCTCAAAAGCTGTTCCAGACCTCAGCTGAAACATTCTGGGTTCATTTGGGTTGGGTTTGATCTTTTTTGAAGAGCAAAGGCTTTTCTTCCACCTGAGTGTCAGGCTTTTGAAGTGAGATTTGTGCTTAGAGATGGTTTTTAGCATCTTACCTTAGGAAAATCTCAATTCAGAAGGGTGCATCTGTTGATTTGGTTGCAGCTGCTGTTTGATAAGGAGTGGTTGATGCTTGCAAGTTTTTAGAACTCATTCTGAGTGTTTGTCTGAGCTTTTTATTAATTCTCTTTATCTTCTCTTATGCAGGTTACAGATAGAAGAATCCTCTAAACCTGTAAGGCTGTCACAGCAGCTGGAGAAAGCTGTGACCACCAACTATAAACCAGTGGCTAACCATCAATACAATGTAAGCAGCTTCCAGTATTTCCCCTTCTTCTTTTCAGGAGGAGTCTGGCTCAGGACTCCAGATTCACTCTGCTGCTGTCCTGCAGTTGGCCACTGTCTTTGCAAGTGCTCCATGTTACCTGGTTTCTCCCTCATTCTGGCTTCTGGGTATCTTCATTCTGTCTTCTGGGTATCTTCTTTCTGTCCCAAGACCCATATCACCCTTGGGGCTAATTTCTGCTGCTTCTGAGGCCCTTGTGTTCCCTGGTGGAGAGCAGGCTGCCTTACCCAAGTCTTTTCTAGTGGTTTGGTTCCATTCTTCTCTAACCTTTAATTTTTTTAAAGTAATTTTGAAGTTTGGGGCTAAGAAGCAGTTCTGCCTTTGTGCTATGAGAGCTATGGAAGTGCTTCTTTGAGCCAAATACCACAGGAAGGTGGATAAGAGAATTGAATCATTAATTTAGAGTCCTTTCCAGGAGCTGACAACAAGTAGAAAAGAATAACAGCTGCTAATTTTTCAGTTTCATACCTTCATAGTCCATGTTGTTTGCATCATTGGCTTTGTCAATATTACACCCACACTGCTGTTCAGATCAGTTGATGTACATACAAACTAATCTCCTTTTTCTTAAAGATTCTGAGTAATTTCTATGTGTGCCTATATAATTGCTGTTCTGTTGAACATGAGATGTGTTAAGTCACACAGAAAATGAGTCACTGTCTTAATCATTTAAACTTTTGCACTTGTTATTAAGATTTTATTTACATAAAACAAATGACAATACACTGGATGATATTTAAGCCTTATTCTGAAAGGCAGTATGTTTCCACAAGACCCAAAATAATCCTCTCTCTCTCTCATGGGACTGTTTTGTAGTAGTCACTGTTCAAAATCTGATCTATACATAGGTGATCAGACCAATGTCTGATACATTCAGTCATCTTCTGGGGAGTTTCTGAGGAAAGAATGAGTATTTACTAAATAAGAAAGAAACTGGTGGCATTTTGTGAAGGAAGAGATGATAGAATATTAAATGTTGTTTAAATGTGGCTGCTCCATGTCCCCATAAATGAATATACAACAGGAAAGAGGAGGGAAATAAATTACATGAGGATGGGAAATAGCAATACCTTGTTTGAATACAAGGATGGGGAAAGTGATTTCTTTTCCCCTTCCAATAAATTGCATTAAACCTGCCCTTCTTATCAGAAAAAATTGCAATTCTGTTGTGATATATGCCAGGATTTTAACTTGGCTTTTCCTCTGTTGGAAAAGGACCTTAATTTTCTGTATATCTGTAAATATTACTCATGCTTACAAGGTTGCAGTGTTAATGTTCTTGCATCTGGAATCTTTCTGTGCCTCAATTATTTTTCCTAATACAGCAGAAAAGTTCTCTAGTGGCCCTGGTTACCCCTTTAGAGGCTTATTTTCCTCCCCTCTTCCCACTGTCCCATACTAGAGAGGTTTGTACACGTGCTCCAGCAAATGGAAAAACAACTTTCAGACTTCTTTCAAACATCTTCAAATGCAACTTCAGGTTTAGTCTCACTTCTCTCATCACCTTTGTACTGTGTACTGAAGCAGTGTAACACATCAGCTTCAGTGTTAGGGAGACCTTCAAGAAGGCAATTTTGGGAGCTTTTCCAGAAGCTTAGCCACATCCTGGGAAGGTAAACAAAGAGAAATTGATTTCTGTCTGAAGTCTTGCAGGGATAAACTCACAACTTCTACACTCGGCAGCTTCTTCTAAAATAGTCCTTCCTTGAAATCAAATCCTATTTTAATGCTTTTTATATTTCAAACCCACATGATTCTAAAGAAATCTCATTAGTTTACTGTGTACATGGATTCTGTAACACATCCCTCAAAAGAGCTTTAAGCCTACTGCATAAAACATCCTGTTTACAAAGAAAACAGGAAGGGAAAATTAGTGTTGCTAATTAAAACTGGGATCCTTCCAGGATCTGAAGGGGGCTCCAGGAAAGCTGGGGAGGGACTTTTTAGGCTGTGGGGCAGTGGCAGGACTGGGGGGAATGGGGCAGAGCTGGCAGTGGGGAGATTCAGACTGGCCGTGAGGAAGAAGTTCTTCCCCAGGAGAGTGGGGAGAGCCTGGGATGGGTTGCCCAGGGAGGGGGTTGAGGCCCCATCCCTGGGGGTCTTGAAGGCCAGGCTGGAGGAGGCTCTGGGCAGCCTGATCTAGTGGGAGGTGTCCCTGCTCATGGCAGGGGGGTTGGAACTGGGGGATCCTTGGGGTCCCTTCCAGCCCTGACAGATTCTGATTCTGTTTTAGCAGAGGACTTTAGAGCCCTAATGGCTCAATGGTTGGACTGGATGATCTTGGAGCTCTCTTCCAACCTAAAGGATTCTAGGATTCATCTACTCTCACAGTCATGTTTTAACTCAGCACAGTGGTGTAGGGATGGTTGCAAGGCCACTGGTGCACCCTTAGGACAACAAAGTGTGCAGGGTTTAAGAGCTGCATTTAAAACTTATCTTAGTATGGAGCTGTCCCTTTTGTCTTAAAAAGATACATGAATATGGGACATGTCAGTCTAAAGTTGACACTTCATGCTAGCATTGAAAAACATCTGTTATGATCAGACTCCCATTGTGCTGTGTATTTTTTTTGGAAGCCTCATTTCCATCTACAAGAACAATTCAAGTTTCCATCTTCTGAGGTTTGTATTTGAAAACTGCTTCTTTGCTTTATAAGCTGGAGAGAGCCACAGGGAGAACCCACTGGCACATCCAAAATGGGACTGACAGTGCTCCAAATAAACAAATGACTAAGATCATCCCAAAGTGTGTCAGCATCATCATTTTACATGAAATGAAACCCAGAGAGAAATACCTGGCACTCCTAAAGTTGCAGACAGTGCCACGTTAAATTGTGTTCTCAGAAGAAAATGTGTAAGCAACAGCAACTAGAACATTACTGAGAATAATCTCATCTAGTTGGGTGCAAAACATGTTGTTTCTTCCTGCTTGGGCACTGCTTCAGATTGTTTCCCTCTGGCAGCTGAAGGGCAAACACAGGAATCCCTGTCCTGCAGGATCCACTAGCACCTGGGAAGGAAAGCACAGCTACAACTTCATGGAGAGCTCTTCAAAAATAGAATCCTTTAGGTTGGAAGAGAGCTCCAAGATCATCCAGTCCAACCATCAAGCCAACACTCCTGAGTCCTCTGCTCAAACAGACTCAGAATCTGTCAGGGCTGGAAGGGACCCCAAGGATCCCCCAGTTCCAACCCCCCTGCCATGAGCAGGGACACCTCCCACTAGATCAGGCTGCCCAGAGCCTCACCCAAGGGCCATTTGAGCCTCCTTTGGGCACGTGGTTATTATGATGTTTGTGGATTTTCCCCAAGTATGGCAATTTGTAGGTTATTTGATATTTGCCATTATACTTCAGAAGGTGATATCAAGAGAGGTGGAGTGAAAGCACCCTCTCTGTTTGGACTCCTGGACTCACCTTGATTCTTTTGGGCAGTTCTGGACAGATCCTGCAGCCTCTGTTTCTGGGGGTTTATACTGGCTAAAAGCAGAGATACATATCTGAAAAGCTTATTCTGCTGGGGACAAAATGCTTGGTTTATGTTCCTAAAAGAACATTCGAGTGCTCCAAAGAAGATTTTTCAGATGAAAAGCACTGAGTCACTGAACAGTCTTTTATTAAATACGAGTTTTTTATGTCTGAATATTCAGTACTGAGAATGATCCAGCCTTCCATATGGATATCTTTAAACTGTGTTTTCTCTCTGATAGATTGAGTATGAGAAGAGGAAGAAGGAAGATGGAAAACGGGCTCGAGCTGATAAACAGCAAGTGCTGGACATGCTTTTTTCAGCCTTTGAGAAGCATCAGTATTACAACATCAAAGACCTGGTGGACATCACCAAACAGCCAGTGGTGGGTACCAGGAGTCTGCTCACAGAACCATTCTCAGTAGTGGCTCTTCTCTATATTTTCCATAGCCTGAAAACAGTTTAATACATGCTTTGGGCCTTTGAAACAGTTCTTTAATTATGTTTTACCACAAACAGAAATCAAGTTATTTTTAGAGCTGTGTAGGATACCAAGCACTGCAGTGAGTACTCTCCTTCCTGACAGAGATGGTTTGAGTAACTGAAATGGTCTCTGTCTTATTGAGGTTTGCTTTCATACTCTAGAAACCAAATTGTGTAGTGCTCTGACATCTCCTGTGCTGCTGGGGTCCTCACTGAAGGAATATACTGAGGTCCTCACTGAAGGAACATGCTGGGGTCCTCACTGAAGGAATATACTGAGGTCCTCACTGAAGGAATATACTGAGGTCCTCACTGAAGGAACATGCTGGGGTCCTCACTGGAGGAATATACTGAGGTCCTCACTGAAGGAGCAGCCTGGTTCTGTTGCTGGAGTCAGTAGAGAGCTTGTGTGAGTGAACAGCCAGCTTCTGAACTTTATCTTGACATTGTTTCATGGATTTAGTATTAAATCCACACCTTATCCATAGTAGGAGCTCAGACATCACATCAACACCCCCAAAAATCACCTGATTTCTTTTACAAATAGAATAATTTTCAGACTAAGAGTTTAGAAGTTTGATATTGGGGATATATATTTTTTAAAGCACTCTTTTGACACACAGACAAGGAAAGCATGAAGGGGTGTGTTTATATGGTGATTGGTCATCCTGCAGTGTCTGCCCCTTCATCTGTGACCCTTGACTTTGAATCCTTCCCCTTCTGCCCCTGCTCAAGCATTCCTGGAGGGAATTGGGGAAGAGAAGGACACATGAAGCATCTTTGTTTGGTGCTTTTGAGGTTTTTCATTGCTGACTTTGATATCCATCCTCAACCCAGCTGCAGTGCTCAGCAAACTTAAAAGGATTTTAATTATGTCTGAGTCTAAATGGAGCAACAATTTTAGAAGTTTTTTGGGCTGAGGCAGAAGGAGCAGTGACAGCTGGATAATGGATAAAACAATTCCTCTGAAAAAGAGGGGGGGGAATGAAGATGCTTAATAAATTTGGGATGAAATAGATCTGTATCAGAGGATTTGTATAAGGTGCACAATCTGCTTGGTTAAGAGGCCACCCAAAGATGTTACCCACTTCAAATACATGTGCATTTATGGAGTTAGAGTTCCTTGGAAGGAACTAGTTGGGTGATGTGTTCATGTCTTCTATTCCATTAATCTATCTAACGAGTCTGGGAGGCACAGAATGTGTCTGCAGCAAGGGAGCTGAGGAGGAGGGAGGAATAGGAGGAAGATATGGAGGGAGTGGCAAGAAAATGTTAAGGTTGGGGTTGTTTTTTTAAAGATACAGGTGTGACAGGCACTATCTTGCTCCCTTTGGATATAAGTAGGTGCAGATTTAGCCCTTCTAGTCTGACTTCTAGAAATAAAATCACCCACAACTCCCACGTAAGCTGTGGGAGAAGAAAAGTTCCCTTCCTCCTGTGGTGGGATTTACCTCCTGAATGTGCCCTTCTCCCTGCACCAGCTCAAAAGAGGCTGGAAGAGCTGTGCTGCTGACACAAGTTTCTTCACCAAGCACCAAAAGTTGGGCAAGATTAAGACAATTTTTGTTTCAATCCCTGCCCTAAGGATTAGATGTTAGTTATTGGACATATAGAGCAAAATTCTTTCCAGGAATACTTCTGTCACATTTCTGATGAGTTTCTCTGCCTGTCTCTATAGTTCTGCTGTCATCATATGCTCCTGAATATATTCTGCCTGTAGCTTAGCAGCTCTGTGCTCTCTACTTTCATCCCAGCAAATCCAGCCTGATGGGGTTTTTTCAACTATTGTAGTGATACAGGTATATTAAAAAGAAATTGTTGACTAATTTGACCCAACATCACACATTATTTGGGCTATAGCCTTGCATTTATGTTTCCTATTTGAGTCTCTCTAGAAGTCCCCCAGGGCTCCTGAGAGATAAATCAAGCTCTTAAACCCTCTTCCCCCAAGACTGTGTGGTCTCAGTCTCCAGCTCTGTGCAAGAATTGGGGGTTTCTT